TATTTTGGATAACAATATCAGGCAGTTTGAATAAAAGCAATATTTTTGTGAAAACTGGACACTCAAAGAAAAATAGTTGCCAAAAAAATTATAAGAAAGAATGCAATTACATGTTTGTTCACCGCCTCCGTGGTCGAGGGGTTAGAGTCAATGACTTCTAATCCAGTAACCTCTCTGGCGTGAGTTCGATCCCTGGGAGATGCTTTGGTAGTTTAGCGCAGAGGCAGGTAGTCTAGTACTGGTGTAACTCTCCAGGAACGATGGTTAGGAAACTACCCGCCTATATGACTGAAATATTGTTGGGAAAAGGCGTAAAATGAAACAAACAAACAAAAAACATGTTTGTTCTGGTGTATAATAGGGGAAAATTATATATTAATTTGGGAGGACTATATGACAAAATTATGAAATTAGGGCATGCTTATCTGAGTAAGATATTCATAAAAATAAACTGTTTTAATTTAGATCCAATATGGGAAGGTAGTCTAGTACTGGTGTAACTCTCCAGGAACGATGGTTAGGAAACTACCCGCCTATATGACTGAAATACTGTTGGAAAAAGGCGTAAAATGAAACAAACAAACAAAAAAAAAAGATCCAATATGAGGCAAAGAACCCCACCCACACCCTGACAGAAGAGGCTCCATGCCTTGACACCCAGGAGCAGACTACAGTGTTTGATATCAGTGGGCCTCTAACAGCAACACCATTACAACTGCCAGATGATTGTGTAAATTTGGAAACTTTGGCAACAGTCGCAAGCAATGCCCAGACATTCCAAGTGCCCCAAGTGTACCATGTTCAGTGCCAGACACCATCAAACTTACCAATAGGAAGCAATTTTTCTGCACTCGTAAGAAACAAAGTATTGAAACTGACTGAAATCTGTGCAATTGTACGCAGCAAAAAGTAACGGACACAAACAGTGTCGATGAATTTCGCAAGAAGAGTACATTTGTTTACGAAATGTTTTACCTTTGTAATTATGTCTAGTTATTAAACGTTTATGTCCCGAATATTTTTTAAAGTATTCCTTCAGATTTTTTGTTTTTGATTTAACGATTGTAATGGCTCCTTATATAAAGAGCAGATAATATCTTCAGTCACCAAAAATGGTCAAACAGGAAACAGCACTTTTATCTTGAATCTAAGGCAGTATCGATAAAATGATGATCAAACCGTTTCAAGAGACATATTGTGAAAGCTTTACATATTGTAATAAAATATCATACAGTTGACTTCAATCTGAATTAACTTTTGTCATATTCATTTCGTCTATTGTACCCAACAATAAATCAAGAAAACAAGCACGCAATGTTAAGGTATACTGGGTGTGAAGAAACAAAGCGTTTTAAATGCGTTCATGTACTTATTAACGTTGACGAAACACAAAAGACTTCCATACGAATGATTTTGAAAGAATTGCAATTCTGGTTAAAATAGAATTGGTACCAGCCGTTAGCGCTTACTCATTTCTTTAAACTTGATTTAGGATATAAAATTTTGGTCCGTTTAATAACTTTGTTACTCGTTTAGATCATAGCGTTGCACAGTTTTATCGTTAATGTTGGTTTATTTGCACATTCTTTAGTTACCAAATATACACGGTGTAAATGCAATACGATTTTGTCATTAAAATAATTTGTAAAATCAAAGTAAGCACACTCATATTGTACTATTGACATAAACGGATGAGATTTTTTTTCGTTTTTTTTTTAATATTATCATTGCATTGCAAAATCGACTTCGTAAATTTGATCATGATCTTAATAATACGTTTTACCGGTATAAAGGATATCAAAGCTGTAGGGGGGTTAAACAAAGTATGGCAGTTTCAACAGCTTGCATAACATTGTCTCAAAATTATTATGCTCATGTCATGCCTTAAGTAACAAATTTATCAAATTTAGAAAGACTCTTGTGTTTTCAAAATATGTGACCTTGTCATTGACATAAAATATCGAAAGAAAATTAAGATTAACAATATAAACAGAAGAAAATTATTCCTGTGACTTGTTTCGTGGCTTTCTTCCTTTCATATACAGGTCAATCCATTATTCCAGGGTAGTACTAGCATTGGTAATATAAGTCATAGTCCTGAATGACTTTCAGTAGAATAAGTAAAAAATGTGTCTGAATCGCGACAAAGAACATTCGGATGTAGCCATGAATTGATCATCGATATGATCAGGGCAACAATAGGATAGTGGAACAATAAGCAGGACCGTGATTTGTTGTTGCGATTTGTTAAAAAAGCTAAAACAAATCATTGCAAATGTTTGATATTTGTTTCAAGCGCATTTTAAAAATATTTGAATATTATCTTAGTCATGGCAAAATGGTATCTACATATATAACACAAAATCGTTTGTCTCAAAGGCCTAAACGTTTCAATTTGAACTATAAATTGAATAAAATACCATTTGAATCTTAGCAACGAGCTTCAATAGTGTGTTTGTGGTAATTGTATGGTTGCTTCAAAGACTTTCAATTTTTTCTTACTGTCTCAATTTATAGTACTATATACTAAATATACTTTCAAAATCGCATTTGCGGACGTCTTAATCGAAACAATAAACTTATTTCAAAAGACGTGCTGTCACAAATTTATATGTATTCTAAAGTATTATGGATAACAGTTAACTCCACTGCAATTAACCTATATCATGAATGTAATTAATTGCCTTGGAATGTCAATATAATCTACAACAGTCAAACAACCTGCGTAAATCAACATAATTCTTAATCAGAGATGGTATTTTTAAAACAAATGCATTTACTTGCAGTTTTTTATTAAGACCATTAATGATCACTGACGGTTATAAAGCTTTTGAATATAAGTATTTATTACACTTTTCTTTAAAGTTTGTTATCTTGTCGATAAGTTAATTTTATCAAACTTCTTACGATAGTTACAAGCTTAGGTACATGTTTTGCCTTCTTTATCTGCTCAGCATCCAGTTAAGCTTAATGATTGCATAAGGTTTTGAAAATGTGACTCTCAGTAAGCTGAATTTGAACAAAATAGTTTTTTTTAATTATTTTATTACAGGAACAAGCGGCTCAAAATCTAAGCAGAAGTATTGTGTTATTTTCCAAAGTAGATGTATGCAAATATGGTTTGTCTAGAATCACTTATTTACTGAAAATATTTTTGGATACCTCTAAAATACTTTGAACATCAAATATGATACATGCTGTCATGAACATAAACGTTAAATATTAGGAAAAGGTATTGGGAAAAATATGATGATACAGGGCCTTTGCTAGAGCGACATTGCACAAATATCTTTAAGGGAATTGTATGGTATTGTATTCGACACGTATTCAAAATTTACAACTATTAAAAGATTCATGTGAAAACATGTGAATGTGATTAGGTTGATAGAGTGTGGTCTATCATTATCATTGATGACTACTTTTCCTATTTACACTTTTATAGAAAATATGAAATATTCTTATACAACTTATGTTGTAATTCATGTTGTAACTACATTGAAGTGAAATTTAGTATATTAATATAAATATAAACTATAATTATAATATAATATATATACTATAATTATATATAATATATAGAGGATATTCAAGTTTTTTCTATAAATACATAATTTATTTTCATCGAGTGATATGGGAATAAATATTTCATGAGTGGCGGTAGCCACAAGTGAAATATGGTAGTTTTCATGCCACAAGATGAAAATAAATCGTGTATTTATAGAAAAAACTTGAATTTTCTGTTTATTATAAACATTTTTCTCTTTTTTGACATTAAAATTTGAAAGACTTTCCCTTAAATTTTGTGTACTGGCAGAATTTAAAAGAAAGTAGTCCGGCAAGACACCAGTGAAAATACGGAAAATATGTTTTCACTGCAGTGAAAAATAAATTTTTTTACAGTGAAAATACGTAAAATGAAAATATGCAATTATTTCATCAATATTTCTCAATATTTCATTTATAAGTATATAATAAAATTATATACTAATACATATTAATATTAATATATTAATACTATTATAATTATATATAATTATATACTATAATTAAAATATAATATATATACTATAATTATATATAATATAATTATATAATTTAATATACTTATTAAACAATTTTCAAACATCGAAGGATATGTAACATATGTACTGCAAATATTTGTGCACACTTTATGTAATAATTAAAATATATGCATTCATTTCTTGTTGACAAATTTTACTTATAGTTTATAGAAAATAAATTTCTAATTACTTCACCTAATTAACAGAAAATGTAAATTCGGTAATATCTTTACAAATAGAGCTTTTTGAACTTACAATATTGATAAATCTTCATTTGAGAATCATATTTATCATATAAAACTATACAAAATTGAATAACATGACCTTTAAGTTTAAAGTATTTTGTACAATGATTAGATTCAACTTTCGATAGAATAATAACTGATATACACAACTTAAAATTCATCAAAAATTCTGTTACACTTATTTATATTCTGTGTGGCACAAAATATGAGTATTTCAACTTTTAAAACTTCTTAAAATGTTTTATATTAGTTTTGATAACTTGTTTTATATATATTTTTTTTGTGTTGTCATGATATATATTTTACTCTTTATTTTTTATATTTCTTCCGTATGATATATTCAAATGAATCAAATGTATCATTAATTAAATTATTCACTTTGATTTGATATCCACGATAATCCTGGAAAAGAAAATATTCTTTTTGGAATCGATGCGAGTACAAGAAGAATAAAACATAAACCTCTTTCCTTAACTAGATACAACGATCTCCAGACGTACTCATTGGTCGGGGACCGTCGCTTATTTAAAACCATATTTGATAAGATACCCGATTCGAAAGAGGTTGAAATCATTTAAGAAGTCCGGTCCAATCAATTGAACATGACTTGATCAGACAAATATGATCGGTTACCTTACGCTTTGTTTACTGTCGTTACCAAGTGAAAATATTGGATACAATATAAAAGGGGCTCCGTCGTAAAGATAGCATTGCTTTCGCTATTATCGTTCCGAGGTGAAAATGTAAGTAGATATTTTTAGAGCTAAATATTTTTACTTTAAATAGTTAAAATGTAGCAAATTAATGTATGTTTACAACAGAGCTTCGTCTTATATTTTTATCTTATAAAACGTTATAAAAAACAATTAAAATATAGTATATATAATTAAATATTAAATATGATAAAATGCGATTTAATGAAACTAAGAGTAAGTGTTAAAGGGGAACAGGGTTTAATGACATCTTACATTGTAAGAATAGTGTGAACAAATGAAATATGCTTATGCAAAATAGATGGAATTTATATAAATTACCTTTTTGCTTCATTTGAAAATTACTATTGTTTTGTTATTAGTTCGTCTGCACAGACACTTTACGACGAAAACATGGCTCGCCTTGCCTTTAGCAGATTGAAGATCATAATTTTAATTCTTGGATTGACTGGTCATATTTGTTGCGCAGGTAACAAAATGATTATAATATGATAAAGATTTAAAACTAAATGATAGACTTCATTTATAAAATAGTAAATATTTAAGTTGATTCTTTGAAATAAAATGTCTATGCAGATGTTGTGTTCTTGCAAACACATACGCCATCAAATCCAAAATAAACCCTACAACTATTATTTTAGAATTATTTTAGGTTGCAAAGTTTATAGCAGCATATCTCTAGATTCATGCGTTTGTCATAAAAAGTTTGAAAATGTATTTAAAAGTGAAATATTGTAAGGTTAAAAAATGTAATTGACACATTGCATACAGCACTAAGTCTCATAATCTAATTAAGTTAGACACGAAATGGCAATATGGTGATAATAACTGTAAAACATGTCATTAATTACATACAACATGTATACTATTACTTGAATCTTGACTCTGTTTACAGTTCACATCTTTATCAAGTTTGATTTTCAACAAATACTTTGACTCATCGGAAAACATGAAACTTAAAACACACCTTTTTTCTTTTGCTTTTTCGTCAATGTTTTTGACTAGTTGAATAAGAAACATACTATCATTTTAAAAACAAAACGTTTAATTTGTATTATCATTATATAACATTATATTTCGTTTATCAAAGCTAAGATATCAGAGACGACATGTACTAGCAATGGAGGCGAGTGCACCGTGCCACATTCAGAATGTGACACCACTGTAAATCCTAAATGTAAATGCATCGGGTTTTTGTAAAGATACACCCGGACAGCACTTTTAAAGGGGGTCAAACACTTATAGAAGCTGTTAATGATTGAATATAAAATTTTCAATAATTTTGAAATGTTTGGAACACTTTTACTGAAATTTTAGGGGCACGAAATGATTTATTTAATGGGGTTTCGAAGGTAAAAAAACGTTGTTCAGATATGTTTAGTTCATTTGTTTCTTGAATTAATTACATAACCTAATATGGTGATGAACAATTTTTGAAAGTTCTTTCGATGTAAGGGATTTTTTCTTTGTGACATTTCACGACAAACATTTAATTAAGATGCTATCTTCATCTCACCATCAGCATTTTCTTGTTAAAAAAAATAATGTTCACTGTCAAATTTGTTATTCTAAAGTACCATTTAATTAATCTTTAGATTTATTTGTACAATTTGTCTCAGAAAAGAATAAGATTTTTTTCTTATTTAAATAGAGAAAACATAGGTTTGACAGTGTTAAGATAATGCTTTTAATGGGTTTTTTTTAAATGTTTTTTGTCTGAAATTTGTTTTCATAAAAGTAGCAAAAATGTAAAAAACAAGTAGTTTTTTATGTAAATTACTATTTATGTAGGTACTAGATGTTAAAAATGGTCAAGGTAATTGGCGAATGGGTAACTTTTTAAACAACAAAATTAAAATCAAACTATTTTGAGAAATACAAATATTGTATTGTGGGATATATTAAACCTTTAAGCAATTTTCTTTAACACATCTCTTAATGTTTAAGATAAGATAATTTTGTAACTTATGTTGTCATAAATCAAATATTTTAACATGTCATCAATTAAACTTTTAATGTTATTATGTGTTTGAGAATGATTTAAAAATTAATGAACGGTAAAAAAATGGGTCATATTATTTGGCTGGTTAAATATATTAAAAAAGAATATGATAGAACAAAATGTTTACTTGCGATACCATCATATTTCTTTATGTTTCGTCTATCAAAGCTAAGATAACGGAGACGCCATGTACTAGCAATGGAGGCGAGTGCAAAGTGCAACATTCAGAATGTGACACACAGTAAATTAAAGTGTAAATGTAGTACTGGTTTTGTAGAAGATACACCCGGGACAGCATGCGTTTCAAGCGGTGGTCAAACTCAAACACGTAAGTTGATTAGCAAATTATAGATACTTATTGATATTGCTACCTTATTTTTGCGTATATTATTTCCTCATTAAATATTACACAAGATAACAGCGAAAGCGAATGTAAGCACAGTCTAATTTGCATTATTTGCTGTCAGCCCTTAGCATTTAATCAAAGGTTAATATGTTTATGTAAATGCATCATACATCAGTTATAAGATTTGGAACGTCACATGTCGACGATAGCGTTGTTTCTGTAAGGGGGAACTGGCTGGTGTTATTTCGCTGAATAAATAAAAGACAACATAAAATGTGTTTACATTAAGATATCATCGTTTGCTAAATTTATTTCAAAGCTAAGATAACGGAGACGCAATGCACTAGCAATGGAGGCGAGTGCAAAGCGCAACATTCTGAATGTGACACAGGAAAATCAAAGTGTAAATGTAGTGATGGCTTTGTAGAAAATACACCTGCCCGGAACATCATGTGTTTCCCAGCGGTGGCTCAAACTCCAAAAAAGTTTAAGTACAAGAAGCAAAAAAAGAAGAAAACGAGTTTAATTGATAGCTCTATCTTGGAATGTAAAATTTCTCGAAAGACACGTAATAAAGCTTTATTTTGCTATAAATGTGGCTTGTTAAACATGATATTTTTTATAGTTATTAAATCAGGTTACGTAAATTTAAGTATCCCGCAAAAATGTTTTGTTTTCAGAACAAACGTTGCTCGTTTTTTTTCAAAAATTAATATTCACTTCAACAGTCCCTGCGCCTCTCTTTAAGCCGCTCGACTTTCTTATCATGATATTTTCAAGAAAAGCGTAGTCTGGACCTTCCAAAGAATGGTTACGCTCCGCTTTATTCTTTTACAAGAATAAAAATAGGAAGTTATATTTTTTGGCTATTTTTTTGCTATATTCAAATTGTTCCTGTTTTAAGTTTAGAAACTTTCTTTCAGAAACCGACGCCTCCTACTATGTATTGCTCGCTCCTCGCTTTATTGTTTGCTAGGGATCCTTGTCCCCTTCAAGAAATTGATCCTTTTGCTCTTCCGTTTGGCTCTTTTATTTGAATATTGTCTGTGAATATTCAGTTCTATACCCACCAAACTAGAGTCAAAATGTAATCCTTTTTCTGAAATCGAGGTTTTAAAAGAAATGACACAATGACGTTCTATATCTACAATAGAAATTAAAAATAATTTTTTGATGAATGTGCCCCCGAATTCCACTCTCATAGTTCTGTTTAATTTAAAGATATAGCCATTCATAAACAAAACAAATCATCTACATTTAGAAAGAGTATCTGAACTTGTATGTTCAAACAATGGTGCTGAGTGCAACGCTATCCAACACTCGACATGTGACGTTCCAAAGCTTAAATGTAAATGCCAGACTACCTTTGCAGAAGACAGGACTGATGGAAGCACATGCGTTTGGAGTAAGTTTCAGTTTATTTAATTTATATTCATTTATAAATCAAAAAAAAATTTCGTATGGATATATCGAATATTGTCATTAATGAAATAAAATGCAAAGAATGGACTAGTGATTAAAATCTTTATAATGTCATGACTAATAGGTAACAAACGTTTTGAAAAGTCATAATGGAAAAAATATTTTCAAAATGATACTGCAATGGGTTGACACTTTATGACGTTTTGTATATTGAAGGAAAAATATAGTTGGAATTCAAAGATATTAAATTATGTGGAATTATTTTGTTAAGGGCATAGATCAGTCCTGATAGTTTTTTAAAAAATCAAAACGATTGAACAAAACTGTCTTTAACTTTGCATACTTAAAGATGCTTTAACTCAATTTTTAACTCAGAATTTAGCAATCAACAACTTATTAGATGAAAAAAGGGCTTCAATTTTCAATTCAATTGAAATGCATGTTGGAAAGCTCTTGTAAAATAGGCCCCCCCAAAGACTGAAAATAAAAAACCGGAAAAAAATTTGAAAAAAAGTTTCCTTCCCTAAATCACCTAAATTTGGGTTTCTTTCTTTTGAAAATTGGTTTAAAACCCCCCTTCCCCCTTCAATTATCTAAAAAGAAGGCAATTGTGATCCCAAAATTTAATTTTTCCCCCTTTGTTTTTAAAAAGCGGCCCCCCCTTTGGTCGCCCCCCTAAAAGTTTCCTTCCCCTTTATTTCTAAAAATTTAAAAAACTAAAAATGGACCCCCTTTTAAAATGATGATCCCTCCCCCGATATTTTTTTTTGACCCGGTTTTCGCCCTTGCAACCCCCTTTTTGGGTTTCCCCCCCGTAACCTTTTTACATTTAAAAATTTTAATTGAAAGTATGAAATTTAAGAAAACAGTTTTTTAAAGTTCTATTTTTAAAATTTATTGATATTTAAATAAAAATAAAGTTTTTTTTTTACAAAATTTTGTTTTGTTTAATGTTTTGTTTAATTTTAAGTTTGCCTTATGTGTGAATAACGTTATACATTCATTTCATTCAGTAATGCTTTTTCGATCTTTTAATAAACGGTTGATAACTTATAATAAAAATTACATATTAATTTCTCTTTTTATAAATATTGTATGCAGTACCTTTCATAAATAGAGGATATTCATTTTTTCTATTAGTACTGGATCTATTTGAATTGAGCTGTATGAACATAAATATTTTATATGTGCTGGTAGCCACGAGTGAAATATGACAATTTTCATTACATAAGATGAAAAAAAGATCTGTGTTATATCTTA